TACCTTATCATCAGCGTATTGGAGTTCTATAACAGATGTTGTAGGTCTTCTTCTGAATGAGCCCAGACTACATTATCATCCGCGTATTGGAGTTCTAGGCTGCACTGATAGGAATAGCTTTGAATTTGAACCAGGGGGACGGAGGGGGGCTTCCAACCTGGTGCAATTTCCGTCTGGTCAGCCAGGTTGGATGACCCCAACCCTCCCTGGTTTCCCTTTGGCTCATCCTTTCTTTCCGGCCTCCTTCCCTTCCTCCCAATGCATTCATTATTGCGAGCAGCAGGAAGGAAGGACGAGAGGGAGAGAAGATGAGCTCGGCCTGCAAAAAATAACAATCATATCAGGTGCCCCACGCTTTGCTTGGCCTTTGCATTCCTGAGCTTCGTGTGGATCATCTTTGGTAAACATTGCTTGCATTCCAGTCGTAAGAATTTTCACAATTATTTTTGGGAATATTTTTTCACTATTATTTCTGGGAATAATTTTCCTGATTATTATTGGGAATAATTTTCATGATTATTTCTGGGAATATTTCTATGATTATTTTTCAGAATAATTTTCCTGATTATTATTTTGAATATATTCATGATTATTTTTGAGGATATCTTTTCATGATTATTTTTGGGAATATTTTTTCATGATTATTTTTGGGAATATTTTCCTGATTATTTTTGGGAATATTTTTCCTGATTATTTTTGGGAATATTTTTTCATGATTATTATTGGGAATATTTTTCCTGATTATTATTGGGAATATTTTCACAATTATTTCTGGGAATATTTCCATGATTATTTCTGGAAATATTTTTTCATGATTATTTTGGGGAATATTTTTGTCATCATTATTTTTGGGAATATTTTAATTATTCTTTTGGGAATATTTTCATGATTATTTTTGAGAATATTTCCATGATTATTTTTGGGAATATTTTCATGATTATTTTAGGAATATTTTTATGATTATTTTTGGGAATATTTCCATGATTATTTTTCTGAATATTTTCATGATTATTTTTGGGAATATTTTTCATGGTTATTTTTGAGAATATTTCCATGATTATTTCTAGGAATATTTATTCATGATTATTACTGGGAATATTTTTAATGATTATTTTTAGGAATATTTCCATGAATATTTTTAGGAATATTTTCATGATTATTTTTGTGAATATTTTTTTCCTGATTAGTTTTGTGAATATTTTTTCCTAATTATTTTTGTGAATATTTTTTCATGATTATTTTTGGGAATATTTTCATGATTATTTCTGGGAATATTTCCATGATTATTTTTGGGAATATTTTTCATGATTATTTTTAGGAGTATTTCTTCATGATTATTTTTGTGAGTATTTTTAATGATTTTAGTGAATATTTTTTTGGGGAATATTTCCATGATTGTTTTTGGGAATATTTTTCATGATTATTTTTTGGAATATTTCTTCATGATAATTGATTATTATTGGGATTATTTCCATGATTATTTTTGTGAGTCTTTGCATGACTATTTTTGGGAATATTTTGATAATTATTTTTTGGAATATTTCTTCATGATAATTTAGGGAAGATTTCCATGATTATTTTTGTGAGTATTTTTAAGGATTTTAGTGAATATTATTTTTGCGAATATTTCCATGATTATTTTTGGGAATATTTTCATGATTATTTTAGGAATATTTTTCATCATTATTTTTGGGAATATTTGTATGATTATTTTTGAGAATATTTCCATGATTTCTTTTGGGAATTTTTTTCATGATTTTTTTGAATATTTTTTCATGATTATTTTTTGGAATATTTTTCATGATAATTTTTGGGAATATTTTTCCATGAGTATTTTTGTGAGTATTTTGAATGATTATGTTATGAATATTTTTCCATGATTATTTTTGGGATTTTCTTCATGATTATTTCTGTGAGTATTTTAATGATTATTTTGGGGAATATTTTTTATGATTATTATTGGGAATATTTTTTCATGATTCCTTGTCTTGGAATTATTATTATTATTATTATTATTATTATTATTATTATTATTATTATTATTATTGCTATTGTTTCCTGATGTTCAACAAGAGAAAATCAAGATAGAAATAATAATAGTAATAATAATAATAATAATAATAATAATAATAATAATAATAATAATAATACATGAGCCAGAAGTGTGATGCTGCAGCAAAAAAAAAATCCCAATGTGATCCTAGTCTGCATCGATAGAGATGTATAGTGTCTTTAAGGAAGTCATTATGTATATATATATATATGTATAGAGAGAGAGAGAGAGAGAGAGAGAGAGAGAGAGTCCATTGAAGGTTTAGGAAGGGAAGATGAAGTGGCTTCCTGTTTTGGAAGGTCCTAATGAGCCTCCTCTCGCCAGGCTTCCCTTCCCATCAAATATTGAACACAGGGCTTCCTTCCCTCCTGCTTGGAGGCATCAAATATTTAAAGGGGAGGAGACGCAAATAGGGATGAAAAGGAAAGTTTGAAAAGGCCCGAGGGAAGTCGTCGGAGGGCAGCGTCCCAGGCTGCAGCCAAAGGAAGTCAATATGTCATGTAGTCCAGGCTGAAGGGATCTCGTAGACCATGAACATGCAATGGTTGACAGATAGACAGATGACTGGATGGGTGGGTGGGTGAGTGGGTGGGTGGGTAGATAGATGGATAGATAGATAGATAGATCCAGATGGTTCAGATGGTACAAATGATGGATGGACGGATGGATGGATGGATAGATAGTTCCAGGTGGTACAGATGGTACAGATGAAGGATGGATGGACGGATAGATGGATGGATAGTACAGATGATGGATGGATGGATGGATGGATGGATGGATGGATGGATGGATGGATAGATAGATAGATGGATAGATAGATA